CTGTAAAATTAGCGCTGTGGTAAGACAAATTCACCTTCGGGTCAAACTAATTCGCCCTCAACACTAACTGCCACATTGTCCGTTACATTTATTTAGTTTCGAAAAAGTGGCGTCGGTACAACAGCCTCAATCGCGTCAGCTCGTGAAAATAAATTAAAATGTGAAATTTCGGGCTCGTTTGACAATGTAAATACTCCCGGTATGATTTATAGTGTCCTCTCTTTCTTGAAAACGTTCGAAAGCAACATAAATAAACCTGTTAAGGTTAGAAATCGTCTGTTCAATTCAAAACGTAAACAAGCATGATATTCGTTGGAGTCGTCAATCTTCTATATTAAATTGCGATTAAAGCGTTCCGCGTTCAGTTTATATTTTTACGAAAATCTGTGAACTTACTGCTTACTTCTATAGTTCGTGTTCTCCCGTAATTTCAAAAGAATATCTCAAGTGTTCGGACGCCGACATCGGTTGGTCCAGTGGTTAGCGCAACTGATCACAGACCTAGATGTCCCGGGTTCGAATCCCGGCCTCGGTGGCAAGATTTGATGGTCTCAGATCTTGTCACCGTGGAGTGGCATGGATGTTTCTCTTCGTTTCTGCCTTCGTTTCTTCCTTTGTACTTCTGTTTCTACTGTTGTTGTAATCTTCCCATCATTTAGCGGTGGCTGTTTGTCTACACGACTAAGGCCAATGAACTATACCTAGAGTGCGCAAGCTCTCAAAAAAAAAAAAAAAAAAAAAAAAAAAAAAAAAATCTTTTCCTGAAAGTATTGTCCAGTTATCATTCGCTAAGCCGTTTTCTCCTCTCTCAGTTTTGAGGTTAGGTTGACCCAACCCTACCGAATGCGAATTAGAGTAGCGGAATTAGTTTCCAGCACTAATAGTGGTTAGTGTACAGAAACCAAAAATCATGTGTGTCCAAATCACACAATTTGAGTTAGTGTATAGAAACCATTTTTAGTCATCTGACGCTAACTCATTTTTTTCAGTGCGCTAGTATTGAAATAATACCTGCGAACGCCTTCTAAATTAAAAATCTGGAACCTTTTTTTTGGGGAAATTTTCAACAACAAGCATACCGCCCACCAGTCTCAAAGCTTGATGTGCTGAATGACTCATCGTTTCACATTATTGAAAATTTACCATCCTTGACCATATTATTTTGGTATTAAATGGAAGAAATTCGGAAACCTCTGCCATGTACATTCTGATATCCGATGAAAATTGATTTATTCACTTCTTGGCGCTTTCTTTGAAACGACCTACTTTGCCCACTTCACTTACACTACACTTTGCGATTAGGTACTAAAATTTCTGGCTCGTTTGTAAAAACACTCATATGAAACTAATAGAACATACATTGTTTCTAAAATGAGCCAAGTATTATAATTCTAAATTTCAAAATGTAGTCCAGTTGACTTTAACATCACATCTATTATGAGTTTCAGAAACACGGTGGGTAGCGCTAAAGGAAAAACGCCGTATAGACATTCGAAATCAGCCAAATTTTCTTCAGTAAAATGTTTATTTTTGAGGAAAATTATAAATATTTTTCCTTGAAATTTCCAGGCGTTTCAGATCTAAGTACAAACAAAATTATCTGAGAAATTGGTAGACAAATATTCTAAAATTTTCCTGGAAATTAGTGATTTGCCAGGGGAAATTTGGCAACGTCGAAAGGCTCATACAACGTTTTTCCTTAGGACGGCAGAGCGGAGAGTGCGATATTGAGATTCGAGGCACGATGGCGCTAGGGCGAGAGTATTAACGAGGGCAGAGCAAGAGCCAGAGCGGTCGTCTCAGCTCAGGGGTTCGTGGTGAGGAATAGGAAGGGGGGCTGTGTGAAGGAAGCCCCAAAAGCTATAAAGCTCACGCAGTAATAAGCACGGGTGAACAGCTAGCGAGTAAAGCTGAAGGCTCATCTCCCACCGCCCCACCGCCTCGCCGCCGCACAAAGATTAACGGAAGTTGGACCTAAAATTCCATACTAAAATTGCAAATTTTGATGTAGCCTTCATCACATCAAACATTTTAAGAGGTGTTGCTCTAAGGGAATTCAACGAAAAAGCCGATGAAAATAATTTCAAACTTCTACGTTTCGTATTAATAAAACTAGATGCTTTTATAGTTGCCACATCATATCTGAGTCTGAGTCTGACCCACTGTGCGCCGCCGGCCGTGGCACCTTTCAGCTAGGCAACACCCAAGACAGGCGCGCCCGGGGGAGGCCTACCTCTCGCGGCCGAAGCCGGACAAGTGTGTTGCTGAGCTTAGCGCTGAAATTCGAATGCACGGCCTACCGTGTCGTGCCACGAAAGAGGGCAACAACTACATTTGGACTTGAAACGTGATTTAAATGTGGCGTTATGCACCTGAAGGCTCAAGGCGGAGAGGGGTTATTGTGATCTTTTGTAACACGGGCACGGGTGCACCCTAGACATGGTTGGGGGAGGAGGGCGGGGACTTTGATCTAATTATCGGAGGTGTCACTGACGTGATGGAAACACGTGCCGGGGCCCCAAACTTATAATGAAAACGATAACGGGCCAGGATAAAAAAATCAGGAAGCTTAAATGAGGGACTTGTAAGACAAGGCGCATAAGTGCAATTTTTGAAAGAATTCATAAATGATTGTAAGTTCAATAGTTTTAATTCATATCTTGTGAAAAATTCGCTCTCAAAGTCAAATTTTTAAGCATCAAAAAGTCAGTTTGAACATCCTCTCCGCTATAAGGATCCGTGAGTTTCGAAACTTTAAACACGCATTTCTCAATATAGCAGAAACTGCACTTATGCACCTTGTCCTCGATCCAAGCCCCTCAAATAAGAGAAATGCTCACTTTCAGCGAATTTAAGAGGACATTTTGAGATTTTCTTTTCATTCTTTTTTTTCTGTTTGAATCAGTAAGTTTTCAAGAAAGTGAAGTTATGAAGTGATCGTTCGATGGACATACTCAGATGGACGGGTATAAATCAAAAGAAACTATATCCATTGTGACATGAGCCTTATAAGGTACGTACTCTTATGGATGTCAAGGTTCGTGTCAGAATGAATGTTGGCCCTGTCGATTCAAATGCGTCCAAATATTGTAAGCTTGAATTTTTACGCTATATATTATCAAGGTTACGAGAACAGACGAGTTGGGCCGTGGTGAACAAAAATGCATGAAGTACCATTTTGAAGAGAGAAGAATTTGGAGGCGTTTTGAATTCACCTGTAGTCGCACACCTTTTCCTGTCAAAAGTTTGAAGTCAGGAAAACATATTTTAAATGTGAAAATAGTCGTCCAACTGTGTCTTTAGCACTGAGTTTCATGAAGGATAAAAACTTTCAAACCTCTTTTTCTTTAGCACATTTCTGTCAAACTCGATCCAATTTTCATAAGCGTGTAGTCAGCCTAAGAAAAAACGCCATACGGACAATCAGAGGTTGCCAAATTCACCCGGATAAAATATGTATTTATGAGGAAATGTATGCATAATTTCCCTCAAAATTTTCAAATATTTTTGATCAAGCGGCAAAATTGCCTGAAACATTTATAGAAAATTATTCTCAACTTTATCTGAACATTCATTATTTCATCAAAGGAAATTTGACAGCACCTGAATACTTATGCGGCGTTTTCCTTAGCATAGCAGTACTCAAATCAAAATGTTTGACCAAAGTTTGGTTAAAACAATACTCTCATTGAAATATTTAAATGATCGTAGGAAACCTCTTCTGAAAAACTCTGGATGCCCAGTTTATGAATGCTCCATAACTCATAAGGTTCAGGAGAAAGGAGCGATGATAGGGAAACGGAAAATAAGAAAAAAAATATCATAAAGTTCTCAGATTTCAACCCCTGCTCTTCTAGATCCTCCACCTCGCCACGCCCTCGGTTGAGCTCTACCCGCTAAAGGCTATTCCGCAGCAAGTAAGGAGCATTGATTGACTGGATAAAGTGCCGTGTTAAGGAAGAACGTCGTATGAACCTTCAGATGTTGCCAAATTTCCTTTCATAAAACGCGAATTTTCTGGTGAAATTATGAATATTCTCCTCCCAATTTTTCGGATAATTTTGTTCGCAATTTCACCTTCAGATTCTGAAAATTTAAAGGAAATATATTCGTAACTATCCGCAAAAATACGCAGTTTATCGAAGGACATTTGGCAACCCTCGAATGTTCATACGGCGTTTTTCTTTAGCACGGCAGTACAGGACATGGGACAGGCGGCGTCATGGTCGGCGGCTGTGGCGAAAGCTCGTCCTATCCCAGGCAGAGCCGAAGCTGTTGGCGATGAGCAGATGAGCAGCTGACCAGCCGCCGGGGCTGAGCACTCCGGGCAGCCCAAGCTCTCCGGGAAGTGCCTCTGTTGACACTGCACTTGATGTAATGGCCAAGCCGCCAGGAAGCATGGGAAAACCTCAGCGCAGTTTTATTAAACTACTAATTTACGAGCGTCCAATACGCAACGACGCCGTCGCAGGAAACAACGCCACGGGGAGGGGGAGGAGGGGAGAGAAAAATGATAGATTACCAATTACTAATAACTTGTCGGGGGCTAAATAAGGAGAGGATTAAAACATAATTGTAAAAAGCGTCGATTCCCCCGGCGATACATCGATTCGCGGTGAGTTATGAAGATCCAGGGAAGCTTGGGGGACGGGGGTAGGAGGAGGGGTTGGCGGGGGAGGGGGGGTCGTGTTCTGAAAAGAGTCAACGGACAGGCCTCTCGACGCAGGCCGCTCGCGTTTTCTCACGTGTTTCCGAAGATGTCGCGGCAGTTTATTAACAACAGGTTCGTATCGGTTGCGGCCGGGGAAAACGAAAAAAGGAAAGGGGGAAATCCGGGGGGCGAGGGGGGCGTTGGGAGGGGGCAGCGATGTGGCTGCTTATGTGTGGACTATATTTCTCCGAATGCATTCCGTTTCACTCAAGACAGGAATCCAAATTCTGCGTAGCGTTCCGAAGTTGCCGGAGTTTCCTCGAGAAAATAGTAAATCAATCCAAAAAAGTTGTTGAGGAAATAGTGTTTTACTGAACCGAAAGAGAAATATATATCCATCAGGTTAAGAAAAAAACGTGTTTTTTAAAAGTTTGCAGGGGTTGGATACAATGCGAATAGTTTTTTTTTTTTTTACTTTAAAGAGAGCAGTAGTTTTTTTTTAATTTTTTTTCTTTTTCTTCAAGAAAAATTGCTTAAGAATTAAAGAAATTCAATATGTCAGTGACGACCCTATTTCTAAGTGATATCGTAAACTTCGATGTCAGTATCTGGGTAGTAATTTACATGTGCAACAAGATAAACTGCATAAGAGAACTAAAGAAACAACCACTCTTTTAAAAAATTTTTTCAATCGTAATTGGAATTTTAGAGGTAGAGCACAAATTATTAAGATTTTGAAGGAAGAAAAAACTTCCCTTATACATATTTCTTATCTTGACAGAATGAAGGTCCTCTCTTGTGAAGTAGCTCCATAGATATGACGATGCACCAGCAGTGCCTGTCTAGTTAAAATTAAATCCATTTATTTTTTCAACCTGAAACAAAACAGAATAATCTGATAGAAGAAAAACAAAATCTAAAGAAAAGCAAAAAATAATCATCTATCACTACTCTTTATAGCAAATCAGTAATGCCATACTGACCGAAGCTTGTTGAATTCAACCGAACTTTCCTCCTCTGCGGACAGAGCTGCGAGTTATATCGTAAAGTTTTAGTTCCTACAATAAATAATGGAAGTACAATGTACACTCGCTAATCTACAACTGATTTTAAACTTTAACCGGCGGCCATTATGGAAATTTCGGTTTTTTTTAAAATCTAACGTCAAATTCGTTTTTCTCGTGTCAAAATACCCCTACATACCGACTTTCGCGCAAATCCATCGACAAATAACCGGTGTGAATTTTCGGCTATTTTGAACTTTAACCGGCCGCCATTTTGAAACGGTTTGAGATATTGACTTCGGGTTTGCGCGAAAAGTTTTCTTTTTTTATGCTCTTTCAAACGAGCTATCACAAAGGGGGTCTTCCCATTTGAAAATTAAAAGTTGGGGGCCGTTGCCCCCCAAGGGGGGCCCCCTGAAAATTTTAGGGGGGCCAAAAAGTAGCTCCCTTTTACCTAGGAATATCCCCCAAGTTTCAAATCTTTACCTCAATTAGGTAAAAAGTTAGAGGGGGTGGAAGGGACTTTTGGATCACCCTGTATAGGGGTTTTAAATTAGCTAACTGTCGAATCATAAAGAGTATCTCGGGGGAAATTTAAAGTTAGGGCTTCTTTTAATGGACGTATTTCTGCTGAGCAAAACTAGAGGCGTGTAGGAAAGATGGGATGCGCTCGTGGTGAGCTCCTTAAAGAACAATGTAAAACTGGGCCTGATTCCTTTTGGGGAAATGGAAAAGTAGGATTCTACATGAAATCAAACGGCACTAAGTGCCAACTGTATGCTAGCTCATGAGCCATGGTCATGTGGCCAGAGCGCTGTGAACAGGGTTCATGAGTTAAAGTGCCGCAATCGCGATCTCCTCGTCCGCGTTGCCGCCACTGACCTCACTGGCGCTTCATAATTCCCATTCATTCTTCGAGCGCACCCCTTCTGTGCTTGACTCATTTTAGTAGAAATGCGTCCAAATGAGCTCCATAATTATGAGATTGTGTGGTAAATTGCCTAATAATTCGAGACGACGCTTTCTTTTAAGGAGATGAAGAATTGAAAATTTTTAAATTTTCACAAACACTAGAAAACAAAGTCGTAGACACTTTATCTCATGAAAGAATTCGTGGACGTTTTTCGATACTTACTTCTTGGATTTCGGCATGGATTTCATTGTAAAGTTCACACATAGTTCGATATACTTGAGTAAATTTTTTTGTCTTGCGACCATATGCATCAAGAATTTCTCGCGCAATCAGAAAACGCGCCCTCTTATCGTCTGAAAGCAATCCTTCTTCAATTCTCTTCTTTAAAAGCAGATGATGGAGTCTTAGAGGTGTCTCCGGTTCCAAGAGCTTTAGGCAACAGAGGTGCACAGTAATGATCTCAGCTCTAACAGAGCCAATACAAGACTTGGAAGGTATCAGCCCTCCAAATTCAGGAGCACCAAACATTTGAGGAAAACACTTATTCTCACCGTATTGTCCATCTGACGTCAAACCGATATAGGTAGGAAATAGAAATCTCAGCCGCGAATACGTTATCACGTCGGTTGTGTTGCCCGATGACTGCACACCATACTTATCTTCTAAGCTTGTAGGTCTACCAATTATACCAGGTCCGAATACTCTGAACTTGTAATCCCACGAAAGTAATTTTTTCATGTCGTCAATGAAAGCTGTTAAAGGCTGAGGTTTTCCTCCACTGGAAAACCGCTCAAGGAGCAATTCTATGCTCTTCTCGGGCTTGAAATTGTTGTATTCAGCTATCACTTTTTCATCATAGGTGTCGCATTCGTTCAAGAAACTACAGTCATTCAGCAAATCCAGGACCTCAGGCAAGAGATCCTGAGAACGAGTTGCTACCGTAAGGTTTTCTGACATATTTCAGGCTTAAATTTTTCCTCCGGTTTTCTTCCTTATTTTCTTCTATATTGATGGTATGGTTGGTTGATGGTAGGTTTGAAGCTGCTTTTGAAAGCTTTTTTTTTGCCTGTAAAGAAGAGAAACATAGGAGCTTCATATTCGTTTGGGCGTATGGTGTACGAGGGTTGTCCAGAAACTAAGTTTACCTGTTCAATATCTCCTAAACTTAGATTGGTAAAGAAAATCTGTAAAGAGCGTAGGAAAGTCATTACTCTCAGATCTAAAACACGCTATAGATTTCTAATTTTAATCTAAGAGACCTCTAGACAAGCGGGCATTTCTGAACCCACCTCCTCTCCGCACGGGTCCAAAATTTTACGGAGCTTCATTCGCAAGTGAGCCGCTATGTCTATTGCCTATGGCAAAAAAACGGCTTAGAGGTGGTTGAAATACAAGTATAACATAAGTAAGGACTTTTCTTAAGTGAGAAATAGCAGAATTAGCCGTGTTTACTTCAAAATCAGTTGCATTCGAGCAAAAGCTTACAGAATTTTCAACGTTAATTCTCAATAGCTAACTGAATCCTTTATAAGCATTCAAATTATCCTGCCTGTTCTCGAATAAATTTGGTCAAAGATGCATAATTTGGAAACATATACAGCTTTTACAACTTTTTTACCATAAATGAACCTGAGTTTGAGCAGCTAAGGTCATCTTCCTTGGTAAGAGAACGAACAATAGAGCTCAATTCAGACACCGAAACCAAATTCATCGTCACAATTCAACGATTTTACCTAATGTAACATATAACATTTCCATGTGCTGCAGTCCGAAGCCACCAATTAATTAGAGTAAAATCAGTCAATTCTGCTATTTCTCACTTAAGAAAAGTCCTCACTTATGTTTTACATGTATTTTAACCACCTCTAAGCCACTTTTTTGCCATAAGCGATAGATACAGTGGCTCACGTGCGAATGAAGCGCCGTGAAATTTTGGACCCGTGCGGAGAGGAGGTGAGTTCATCAGAAAAACCCACTTCTGTAGAGTTCTATTAAACCAAAGGACCCTACAACAAAACGGCCAAATCGGCCTAAACACGGAATCGTACGATTTTCTCAGGGATGATAGAGGGTCTTCCCAGACACTCAAAACTGGTCATATTTTTTGCCTAACCCCCAGGGAAAAGGGGGGAGAGGGGGTCAAAGTCAAAACCTTTAAATTAGCATAACTTCTCGACGGTTTGTCGTAGAAAGATGATCTTGGTGTCAAAATTTCCAGAAAAATGAGAGCTTACAGATTATATGTATGAAATTAATTAAATTTTAAAATTTGGCCCACTTTTGGGGCATTTTACAAGGTCCCCCTTTCGTAAATTTTCGTTTTTTGAGATTTTCGGTTGTTCGGTTCGCACGGATCAAAACAAAAACAATTTCAAATGAAAGTAGAGCGTTTAAGCTTTAAAAGAAGCCCAAGATGATCTTGGGGAAACGATTAGAAGCGGAGTTATGAGTCTTCAAAGTTGACGCGGCGCGCAGGAGCCTTGTATGTTCCGAGTCTCAAGGTCACCTGCGCGCCCCGGATTGCCTGCAGGTTGCAAGTTTTTGTGTTTTTATGCTTCTGTAGGTCATTTTTAATGTAAATCATTCAATGAAGATAGTTTAATCAGAATTTTTTAATTTTACACAATGGGCCTTCGGCGAGGTACACCACATTAACGTCAAAAAATTTTAACTGCGTTTCAAATAGCCCCCTCAAGAATAACTGAGACTTGTCTTGAAGCTCAAAGCTCGTCTGCTTCTACGAGAAACTATTTGGCTTTACCAAGTGAGTTCCGTCAAGCGCTGTAGCTTATAGCTCAATTAAAAAATTTTAAAATTAGGGGTACCCCAAAATTTGGCATCAATGGGTTATAATTTCTAAATGGTTCAGTTCTGTATGGAGCATATGTATATTTGAACTGAGGGTCCATGGTTTCTTCTAAATTATAAGAGCAGAATCGTCATCGTCAGCAAATGTTTAATGAGGTATGATGGACATAATGGTTGATACTCTAAGCCCCCTCTCGCTCCTCCCGTAAAATTAAAAAATTTCGATTATTCTATCTTCATTGAATGATTTACATTAAAAATGACCTACAGAAGCATAAAAACACAAAAACTTGCAACCTGCAGGCAATCCGGGGCGCGCAGGTGACCTTGAGACTCGGAACATACAAGGTTCCCGCGCGCCGCGTCAACTTTGAAGACTCATAACTCCGCTTCTAATCGTTTCCCCAAGATCATCTTGGGCTTGTTTTAAAGCTTAAACGCTCTACTTTCATTTGAAATTGTTTTTGTTTTGATCCGTGCGAACCGAACAACCGAAAATCTCAAAAAACGAAAATTTACGAAAGGGGGACCTTGTAAAATGCCCCAAAAGTGGGTCAAATTTTAAAATTTAATTAATTTCATACATATATTCTGAAAGCTCTCATTTTTCTGGAAATTTTGACACCAAGATCATCTTTCTACGACAAACCGTTGAGAAGTTATGCTAATTTAAAGGTTTTGACTTTGACCCCCTCTCCCCCCTTTTCCCTGGGGGTTAGGCAAAAAATATGACCAGTTTTGAGTGTCTGGGAAGACCCTCTATCATCCCTGAGAAAATCGTACGATTCCGTGTTTAGGCCGATTTGGCCGTTTTGTTGTAGGGTCCTTTAAAGATCTGTAACGCGTTTAAGAGCTGCAAGAAGTGGCTTCTCAGCGTTTCTTACAAATTTTCATTACCTTTCCTGGTGTTAGGAGATATTGAACAGGTAAACTTACTTTCTGGACGACCCTCGTATTTTTCCCTCCTCAATATCCAGAGGCAGTATGTTTATAAGCTATACATTGTAAATTGTAAATTATAATATAAGTCTTATCTTATAAGTTACATTTAAGTTTTTTAAAGATGAAATTTCATCTAAAAGTTTTTCCTGTATACAAATTATTTTCATATACAAAAAAAAACAAAACAAAACCTAGCGGGACCAAAAGATTTTAGATTTTTTCTGCATAGGAAAATACGGTAATAATTCATCTATTTAATTTTTCTCCCTTAAACTTACATTTAGAAACTCATTTTATACTCATCAATGATCTTTACCTTACGATTTGAAAATAACTGTGTGTAGGTGCATGCGATGTCAAAATTACCGTAATAAGACAGGAATGCCTTTTCAGCTAAATCTCAGGAAGAACGGAGCCAAAAATTGTTTGAAGGGAACCGTGCTTAGCGGTTATCGGAAATTTAAAAGCAGCGGACAATGGAGTTGTTACGCCTAAGAAAATGGTTATTTACCTAATAGAAAAGGTTGATTTAGATAAACAGACCGAATATCATACCAAAAAATCCACCGTGACAGTTGAGGTAGCAAGACAAGATGAATATGCACCCACTAAATGGCAGCTAAAACTCTTTCGTGAGTCGCGCGTTCCGATACAGACTGTACTAATAAGAGGCACTTCTTAAACAAAATTTAATCGCATGGGCAAATAAGCACTTCCTCCTGTTGCCGGCATGAGCAAAAATATTGTTTTTCTTTTATACATAAAGTTGTTTTTTATGATATTTGATAAAAGCAATTGTTGAATGTTGATATGTTGAAATTGTTGATTTGTTACACGTGAGGGGGCTTTGTCATGCATTGTGCAGGGAAGAAAAGGAAAAAACGGGATGGGGGGGGGGCTAAATTTGTGGTTTACCGTGGACGAATTTCTCATTGATTTTTTTTTCCTTTCTCTTTCTAGTAATATAAGAGGCTAATTTTATAAAGACCTCATTGACGTTGATTTAGTGTTGCCAAAATTATAAAAAATTCAGTTTATATTACTCTCTGGACCAGAGGCGTTTACCTGCATGATATTTATCTCTAAAAGTGTCTAAATTTTCAAGATTCTTGAATAGCTTGTGTAAGCCTACGTTTTTGACGACAAAGCTGCTCAATTTAAGCTACACCAATCGCTAAACTGACAAGTGCCCTGTTTGAAATTATGGTTATTCATATTATGATAAAAATTAAACCATGGTGGGAAGTTGGCAACGTTTTAAGCTCTTCTCTTGTCGCGTCGCACAGGGCGATATGCTGAAGGAGCGGCGCTACGTCATAAGATATGGAGGCAACTATTTAGTCCCTCAGAAAACAGACAAATCATAAATCGACTTCCCTATACAGAAAGGTGACTTCATGAATGAGCCAGAAAAGTTGGTCTCTTGTTGCGTCTTGCAGGCCAAGTTATGATTCTTCTAAATTTTCGAATGGAATAACTGTTTTCTGATGCGTAAGCAAGCGAACCTGATACATTTCAACATATTTTGCGATACGGAACTGCTATTTCTGGTTCATTTTAGAAACATCATATATGTCATTAAAGTCCCAGGTATAGATAGGCGCTTTCATGGATGAGCCAGGTATGATGGCTCCTTTTTGCTAAACTCAGTCAAATTGTTGTAAATATATGTGCGGAAGGAGAATATTGTGTTCTTCTCAGCAGCGTTTAAGGAATAGCAGGGCAGCGTCTATTTTTCCAGGGAACCGCATCAGAGTTCAATCTTTTCGGAACGAAATTTGATTCACACCATAGAACTAAGTTCATTTGGATTAACATTACCTCTTTCAGAGATGTCCACAATTCACTCACGAGCAGGGCTTATGCATCCTAAAAATCATGTTTCCTCTTGCAAGATCTAGCCGATGCCGATCTACGTCTTTTAGTAAATGCTGCAGTTTACGCGTTTTCAGTTAAAATTATTGTTTTTGGGTAGTAACCATCTCTTACAGAGAAATTGGATGGTACACATTTCAACACAAATTCCTTCGTTCTCATGGATAGAATTAACCCCCCTGCATAAAAAATGAACGCGGTGCGGCGGTTTAGATAAAATAATGGATCTGTCTATAGAATGCACATAATCCTTCAACTTTTAACTCTTTTTCTCTATACTCACTCGAAACAAACTTGTGAAGTTATTTAAAACTTTCTTAAGATCAAATTTGGAAGTTGTATAATTAGGGAACTGTAACATGATGCGATATCAAAGGTATTCGCAATAAGACGTCTTATAATTTAAAAGCCATCGATCAATTGGACGTATTTCTATCAAACAGAACTATGTGCAGGTGGGAAAGATGGGGGTGTGCTCGTTAGTGCTTGGGCCTTGAAAATGGATGGGAATGATAAAGCGCCAGCAGTGACGTAGCCGCCGCTCCTGTAGCCATTCGTTGTTTTTAACTCATGAGCCCTGTCCACAACGCACTTGACACCTGCCCATCACAGCTCATGGAGTGTGCACATAGTTCCGTTTGACAGAATGTAAAATCCCGCTTTTCTAATTCAGCAAACGGAACTGTGTGCCAACCGAATGCAAAACTCATGAGCCGTGGGCACGTGTCAAGAGCGTTGTGCACAGGGCTCATGAGTTAAAGACGGCGAATGGCTATTGAAGCGGCGAATACGTAAGTGGCGCTTTATTATTCTCATTCATTCTTATGGCAAGCACTAACGAGCACATCCCATCTTTCCCACCTGCACATAGTTCTGTTTGAGAGAAAGTCGTCCAATGGAACAATTATCGAAAAAAACAACCAAAAAGTTCGGTAGATTCGCAACTTAAGAAAGTTCATAGCAGAGTGACTATTTGGAGTAAGTTTTGCAATTCGGAACTACAATTTTTCGCTCTCACTTAAAAACGCTTGAGTGCACGAAGAGAACTAATGTTAAATATCGCTGGTTTAAGTACGACACCACGTATCTCTGTTTGTGACGTTGCAGACTTCTAGTCATACTTTATTTTTTCCTTGGAAAACTAGTCAACGTAATTTCTTGAAAACTACCTTGTTTAGTTGAACATTCGGTATAAATTTCAAGTCACAAAGTCGGCTTGTTTCTCTTTGAAAAAATAAACTAAGAGCGAGAATTCCGAAACACTGCAATAGAGATACGTGGTTTCGTACTTTAGTCAACGATATGTTGTTTCTAAACTGGATAGTCAGAAATTGTAGTTATCGTAATTGCCAAAAGTAGCCCAACCTGGCAAACCGTCGCAGGGGGGTGGGGGAGTGGATGGGGCCCAATAAAAACGGAATTAATCGAATGAACTTCTGATGATGCGACGTTTGAGAACAAGGCCACGGCGAAGGAGAAGGAGGGAGGGGGGAGAAAGGAACAAAGGCAGACGAAGAGGTGGCTCGGAAGAAAAAGCTCAATTACCATATTTTTATTTATCCCGACTCACTTCCCCTGCTTGGCTTTCGTTTATTCTGCTCGAAAATGCTAATTTTCCCGGAGACTTTCTCAGCTTTGCGGGGAAATAAGCTCATTACCGGCGGGGCTGAAGCTGCGTTTCTCGCCACCACCGACTGAAGCGGGGTGGAAAGCGGGGGCCAAGGGGCGACGCCTTCGCGATAAGAGAAAAGATGAAAAAAAGGAGGAGAGAGCCCGAGTACTTTATATGGGTATTTCCGCCCACACTCAGAGCGTTTTAACTTTAACTCCCAACTTATAGACTCATGAATAGTTAGTAGTCACGGATTTATACTCGCAATAGGAGCGGGGTCGTAGCTACGCCGAGTCAAGGGGTGCGCTAGCTCATTCGAGCAAAACGAAGAAGCAGAAGAAAATATTTGTAAGGATTTGATACCGCAACTTGATTAATATCAACCCGGTCGAATAGGGAAATTTATAATTACGGCTAAAAGTTTAAACAAGCAGGAAGCTCCAACGCATTGGCGTCGGAGAGCGGCTCTGGGGGCAGTAGTTGTAGTCAAGAATGAGGGCCTAGACACATTTTGTCATTGATGTACAATCCGACAACTGTCGATTCATGTTTTGTAACTTAGCAGATTTACGTAGCCGGTGTATAAATGTGTATTGGGCTTTGATATGGCGAATACATGGCATTATCACTTGTTGTATACTTTTAATTTTGAAAGCTCTTTGGAGGTCCGCTTCCTAAAAAATCTCTGGTTGATAAGTCGATTAGCGAGGCTGCAAAATTTGCATTTTTATATCTGAAAGTGTAGGTATTGGTTTTTTGTATAATTGTTTTTTTGGATTGCTGGAAAAGTAACGCATACTTCTATAATTTAGGACTGAGTCAGGGAAATATAAGGTTCGTTAAATAGTAAATATTCCTAGTACCGTGTGACACTATTGTTAACGAAAAGTTTTTGCAACTTGTCAATGAGGTTGTTGAATGATCTTCGAATAACTTTTGATGAGATAGAGGTAATGGTTCTATCTGCAGCTCGTGGACTTCTGTACGATATTGTCCAGAATCATCTAAATTTTCAAAAAGTGTCCGCTTGTTCGATACCCAATTTGCTCATTCATGCATACAAGGAGAAGCGCATGAAAGCTTTAGCAGACATTTTGGAGATGAATCAAGAATTAGATGAAGAATTTATGACTTAAATCACGGCACCTTAATCACGGGATGACCTTAATTACGGACCAGGACAAGTTAAAAAATTCCCATGAGCCGAGTGCCGTAGGTTAAGGACCCGTTCGCCAAAACTAATCGGAACTGTATGAATGAATTGCTCCTTTTAAAAATCAAAACAATATCGAATTGCGATATATTACACAGTTAAGATAGGGCTATGTCCTGTCGTAAGCGGCGACATACAGTCGATATCATTTCAATAATCGCCCCAATGGCCACGATAGTTGTTAGACGTTTACGGTTTCCCTGGTAACCTTTGTTTGCTATCAGCTGATATCAAGTAATATGACTAGGAAGCTCCAACCCAGTAGTTAAAGCTTCCTTAACCGCGAAAACTTTAAAATTCAAATTTTCAAATTTTGAACGTAAAGTACATTTTTTCCATCACGAGATAAAAGCACAAACAAGTTTTGAATTGTTGACTGTATCACCATGATTCCAAAAATACAATACACAACATAGCATTGACTAACAATAAAACAGTATGCAATAAAATAAAGTCATGACAAGGAACATAGCCGAAAATGGCGCCGATTCCCATCAACCAACGCGCGGTCTCTACCATGTAACATGCTGCATTGATACTCCCCAGCTGGGACCGTCCGGAATAGCAGCTCTAGTGCAAGCACCAGAGCCGCTAAAAATATAGCTGTGTACTGCACGGCCAAGATGAAGTGACAACATACAATAGGTTGCGGGTTCGAATCCTTGTGGTGGCACGAAACCGAGGAGTGGGTCTGCTGCAAACAGTTCCTCAAGTCTTTTTTTTTTTTTTTGTTGTAAACTTGAGATGGAACAAATTTACAAAGTCACTTACAGACTGTCTTAATCTTTACAAATTTGTTTTTATCATGAAACAAGAAACAATCAAACATAATTATTGTTTTCGCTAAGATTTTAGCATGCCGAAAGGTTGGAGGAGTAGTTAAATATTTTACTTCATAGTTCAAATTAGTCCTTAAGCCCCTGAAGATTAGGGAAGCATGGATTTGTCTGCTTGTTCTCTCTGGTAC